CGTACCATGCTGTGAATGGATCGGGTCCAGCTTCCATCCAGGACATGGTCAAACCCTACATCCCAACCCGCACTCTCCGCTCTGCATCTGCAAAACTACTCGTCCCTCCCTCACTGAGAGCAAAACACTCGACTAGGTCTCGACTCTTCGCCGTCCTTGCGCCGAAATGGTGGAACGAGCTCTCTGAAGACACCAGGACCGCAGAGAGCCTTCACATCTTCCGCCGCAAACTAAAGACACACCTCTTCAGACTCTACCTCGACTAAAGACTAACAAATTGTAGCACTTAAATTGTACTTGTAACGTCACTCATCTATAGCAAATTGTAAATTGGCTTATTTGAGGAAATTGCACTTTCTTGTTTCTTGTTCTCCTGAGTTTGTACCCTATGGTTGAATGCACTTATTGTACGTCGCTTTGGATAAAAGCGTCCGCTAAATGACATGTAATGTAATGTAATGTAACTGTTACCTGAACAACTCAACCAGCTCCACCCAAGTGAAACAGTTATTAAGAAGTATTTAAAAGTCCACATTAGAAAACTCCTTGGTGGATACACGCACACACGCACACACACACATACACACACGCACACGCACACACATGCACCCACACGCACGCACACGCACGCACGCACGCACATACATACACACACGCACACACATACACACACACACACGCACACATACACACATACATACACACACGCACACACACACCCACACACACACACTTACACACACACACACACACACACATACTCAGAGACGCTACAGTGTGTGTGTACTACCTTCAGTCACATTGTACATCATACAAGCAGGCTTCTTTACTGGATTTTTTTACCCACAATCCTTTGCACAGCAGATGTAGGAGCCAGAGGGTTCAAGGTGCCATGTGATGAGGAAGTAGAATCCTTCATGTAACAACATGTACTTTGTGAGGAAGCTGCAGTAAATGATTCAACACACAGCTTCACACTGATACGTGGGCGAGTTGTTCCGCCCCGACAGGTTCAACCTGAAGTGGAGAGAAGAATAACTGCTCAAAAAAAAGAAAACGGCCGACTGTCTGTCTGTTATCTGTGAAAAACGCAATATTTTAAGAAAGCATCAGCATTTGTGTGCATTTCGATGGCATTTCTAGCGAGAAGTCTGCGTTATATTTTCATAATCTTCTATCAGAGAACGTAGACGACCTTCCGTTAATTAGTTTCTAGTGACGTAGTTGCAAGGCGATGTAAATAAATGGGCCAAATAAAACGTAGTATTGTCACGATTTTGGAGAGAAAGCGTGACAATACCACGTTCCACAGCTACACGTTTTGCTGTGAGACTGGTTGCGAATAAAAACACTCTGAGCTCAGACTCTGTTGTCTTAGTGGATGTTTTTATTCAATATGAACTCTTCACAACATTTGTTACAAAGGTTTCTGCTTCATCACGTGTTCCCTACTAGTCTACATGTAGAAGAAGACCAGGAGACTAAGAGGGACGTGCACCAGTCAGACTGCATACTTTGATGGTGACGTGAGGACGCACCCTTTCTGATGAAGGACAACAAGCTCCAACAAGCTGCGTCACTTCACTCCGTCTGATGGAAGCTGAAGTGAAGCACGGAGCTCCTTTTCTACACGGACCTGCTGAGGACAGAAGAGAGCTGCTCACTGAGGAAGTTCATGTCTACAAGGTCAGTAAGTGCAGATGTGATTGGGTTTAATGACATCATTGATGCTTGTGAACGTGTGATTGTTTAAAGCTGGGAAACAAGGTGGCGCCTGTGTGAGCAGGCAGAGAGGAGCTGCTGTTAGTCTGAATGATGACGCTGTGATGAAAGAAGAGGATCTCAGTCTGATCTGGGGTCTGTGAGGACTGTTACTGATGAGGAGGGAAGGTAGCAGACAGGGGGGCACTAGGTTCTTTGTTCTTGAAACACACCTGAGAGACGCTCTGTTTGCTCCACAGAACACATCTAGTCACTTTTAAAAGTTTTTGACCGTTCCCCGATGAGAAGGGCAAGGTAGCAGGACGAAGGGCCACTATATATTTATTTATTTATTTTTGAGGTCTTATATTTTTCAGATATTTTGGGATACAAATGTTTTTGACTTTTGGCCCTGATATGGTTCAGGGGGCGTGGCATCGGCTGAAAGGGGCGTGTCATCATGATTGACAGCTTAACAAAGAAGGCAGAAAACCTTCCTCAATGCGTTGCCTTCAGGAAATCTGGAATTATGAATCAACACTTTTCAATTTTATTTATATAAAAGCCAAAGCCGGTGTAATGTGGTCGCGTTTTTTTGTCCTGGTCAAAAGTCGAGCTGCTGCGTTCTGGACTAAGTGCAAGCGACGAAGGGATGACTGATCCAACCCAACATACAGTGAATTGCAGTAGTCTATGCGGGACGTAATGAATACATGTATGACTCTCTCAAAGTCTTTGCGTAGCAGGTAGGGCTTGACTTTAGCCAGAAGTCTCAGTTGGAAGAAGCTAGTTTTGACAACAGAACTAATCTGTTTGTCAAGTTTAAAAGCACGATCAAAAATCACTCCCAGATTTCTGGTAAAAGGACGAATTTGGGAGCCTAAAATACTGAGAGTATCTACACAGACACTGAGATGTTCAGCACGTCCAAACACAACAACCTCGGTCTTACAGTTAATTCTGATCCATCCATACTTTGAGATCACTCAAGCAGTTTATCAGCGGCTTGATAGTGTCCTTCTTATTGTTTTTTACAGGCAAGTGAATTTGTACATCATCAGCAAAACAATGGAAAGAGATGTTGTGTTTTTTTTTTAAATGGACCCTAAGGGCAGCATATACAGAGAATTATACAGAGAATAATATTTCTAATCTTGATGAAACACGACCTTTCAAAGAGAGTCGTGCCCCCAAAGACATTATAGCACCTAATGCACATCCTTACTACGTAAATATATATATATTATCTTTACTTGTTGGAGAGGAAGTGCAGATAAGCCGTTCATAGATCAGACACCAGGACTCCTGATCGTAACCACACCCACAATGGAGAAAAACCCGTTCACACACACATCTACACGGGTACTAACACACAAACACACACCCATCTGGTACGACTGGTTTGCCTCATGTTGGAAAATACCTCAAGTCAGAGGGTTCAAGTTGTTTTAGCCGTTGCAAATATCCCCTGTGGGTTCCTTCAGTCAAAGACGTCCTGCTCTCTGCGACAAGCTGTCGGATGACTGGACGTCCTTCACGTGTGTCCACATTCAGAAAGCAAGCTCACACGTATCTGCTGTCACATGCTTATGGTTCATCACTGTGTGTGTTTAGCTGTTCCTGTTTGATTGTGTTTATATCGCTATACACCATGTTCACGTGATCGGGTGGAGCCGACTCCATCACATGGATGCTACGCTGCGTTCACAGTGGTTCAGAGATTCAAACGTGGTTGTTGAACGCTACTATCTGAGTTTATTGCTCTTATTCTGTGATTCGTGTTAAAACAGCTCGCTAAGTAGAACTTTGTCACTGGTGTAAATTGTCTTACTGCCAATCACGTGAATGTGGTGTATAGAAAGTGTGGATTCATAATTACCACAGTGCCTACGCTTCCTGAAGGCAACACGGTTGAGGAACCTTTTCAGCCTTCTTTGTTAAGCTGTCACTCATGATACCACGCCCCTCTCTGTTGATGCCACGCCCCCTTATCAGGACCAAAAGTCTGACAGTGAAAAAACGATTGAACAGTTGAATCGGAAAATATGAAATCTACAACTGAATAATGAAAAGAACCTAAATATCTATGTATATATATAGAAAATAATGTGATTATATATCTAGAAAAGAATGAAATTAAATATATATAGAAAATAATGTGATTATTTATCTAGAAAATAATGAAAATAAATATTTTATAAGAACTAAATCATCTTAATTTTATTTTGAATACGTTTTTTTTCAATTCTCTTTTTCGAAAGATCAAAAGCTTTGTCCTGGATTTGGCTCCATATACTTCCTGCTTCATGATTAGTTTGATTATGAATTGAGTTTGTTTGATGAATACAAATTACACGGCATTTCTGTTGTTGCAGGTGAAGCTGTGAACCACCTTCACACTTCCCCAATATTTACAGATTCATCCAACTTGTGTCCACAAAGAGGACGCTGACTTCATCAGAGGTGCTTAGAAAGAGGAAGAAGAATTCTGTTTGATTGTGAATCCAAACCAATGAACTAATATAACTCCATCTTTAAAACACGCTGCTTTTTGTTTTTGAAATCCAGAGTAGTAATTGTTCTCTACGATTGATATTTATTTGGTGTCTTTAAAAATGACAGATGGAGAAAGTTAAGGACGACCTCTGCAGCACGATCGAGTGGCTCATCGCGGAGGAGTTCAAACGGTTCAAGCGGCACCTCAAAAAAATCCCAGCCGCTTACCTGGAGAAGGCAGACAGGATGGACACGGTGGACCTGATGGAGAAGTACTACGGCGCAGACGTTCTTAAGGTGGCCAGAGAGGTTTTGGAAAAGATTCCAAGAATGGATCTGCTCGAAAAATTACCCCAAATTACCCCGACGGGTAAGTTGTTAAAAAGAGGAACAAAGACATCAGATGTATATAATAAAGAAAGAACAGGAGTAAAGATGAGGAATGGGCTTCATAAATCCTCCTCATCCAAGGAGGGTGGAGCTCTTCTGAAGCTCCTCCCCCTCTGATGGATGTGCTTCATGTGCCGTTTCATTCATGGATTGTCTGCTCTCTGTCTGCTGTGTAATGTTGTGAGTCTCATTAGAAGTTGTTTGGTCACATGCAAGTATCAGCACTAAATGACTGACATTGATGAAATTATTAACGTCAATACGATTCTTAACAAATGTTAATAATAGCGGAGCACCACCCTTGGATTAGGGATGAAAAAC